CCTGTGCTGAGCACAAAGTGATCCATTTGAAGCCGTATGTACTTTTTAACCCCCTAAAATCCCAGGTTTACTACATACTAAGGCTTATTTTTCAGTAACTACAGGGACTTCAGTGTAAACAGGTTGAGCTATTCTTAGGTTAAACAAGTGTGTTAATCAGACAAAGCAAAGCAAAGACTACACCAGGAGAATCAAAGCTATTCTATATTAGAAAGAGAACGTGATACTGTTAAAGGAAATGTATTTGGCTGGGAAGTGACCTTGAATGGAGTTAAATTCTCTAGTTGTTTGTTACTGATAAGCAATGTGAGTTTTCTTTGCATGTGAATAATATAAATTATGTTAAGATAAATTTGCAAAATTACACTATTTAAAATAAAGGCATTGTTATTCTTCTGTAATATAGCTACTTGTTGTTCTTGGGTTAACTTCAGGCTACATATGGCTACTAAATATCACTACAGTCCTGCTTTACTTTGCTGTACATTATGTGGCACCAAAAGCTATTTTGTGATATTTCAGGTTGCCTTTGTAACAGAATTAGATGTGTTCTTTTTCTTCTTCTATGTCCAGTCCTGCATTTACTGCTGATAACAGCTCTATATATTGCTAACTGTTGAAGCAATCTCCATTTAATAATTACATTTTTCTTTACAATATATACACCCTATTTTCATAGGCGACCTTTAATCCAAGCATGGACACAGATTACGACAAAGGCCTTCAATCTCAACTGGACTATAGGGGCAGAAGACACTACATCATGTACCATGGAACGACAATGGATGCAGCACAGAACATCCAAAAGTTCGGCTTCACTCGCTCGTCTGATGGGATGCTGGGACCTGGCGTTTATGTCAGCAGGAGCCTGGCGAAGGCCATGCGCTACCCACTGAATCCACAGCCAGGACAGAAACTGGCTATCCTGAAATTGAAAGTGCGGGTGGGAAAGGTAAAGAAGATTGACAGACAAGGGCATCCGTTACAGAAGACCTGGTACCTAAATGGGTATGACACTGCATGGGTTCCACCAAACTGTGGCATGGTGAAAAGTGGCCTGGAGGAGGACTGTGTCTGGGATCCTGACCGTATCACTGTACTTGACATCATAGAAAGTGAAAGAAATACTGAGAAATCCTGCTCAATTTTGTAGCACACTGTGCTATTTTTAAATAGAAAAATTCTCTGGACTGAAAAGTTGAAGTCTGGTTACTGGGACCTTCCTGTCCAATTCTATCATTAGAGAATCATCACTGATCATACAGGATTCCACTGACCATCAGACTGGGCCAAGAACACTTCCATTAATAAACAATCAGGACAAAAATGTGTAAAATCATGTTTGTATGTTTGTATTTTTGTATCTTTTTGTAAAGGAGCTATTAAAGAACAGCATACAAAGAATTTCACTGTACAGTGTAGCTGTCTTCAGTACATATATGACAATAAAAGACCTATTTTAAAATTGAAAAAGTTGAAACTGATTTTTAAAGGTGGTGAGCAGTTTTAAATCAGAGTACCTGTAATATTTGGTGAAATGTTTTTCACATTCTGGCAATCTATTAATAAAACATTTATACATAAAAGATTAAACAACAAAATACAGGGTCTGTAAATAGAAGAAAAACATGATGTGAGCCACCAACATCCAACCAATCAGGACATGGAGGTGTTAACCATGTTGGGTATGCCGAGCACATAGAACAAAGCTGTAGTCTAGCTGTTATAGCCTAAAGCTAGTGAGCTACAAACCTGAGTTGTGATAAAACCCACTGCAACAGCTGGTTATATCTTTAAATAAATGATGGCAAAGAAAATATAAATAGAAGAACAGAACTTAAAAGAAAAGAATATGATCTAGATGCCCATTAACTATGGCAGCCTGAGCATATTGTAGCTATTTCTAAAGACTGATTAAAGTTAAAACCAGCATTCAGGCTTTCTTGCACATGTATTTGTTTTGGGGAGTTGCTTTGGAGAGAGCGGCAAAAGGATTTGTTTGGTTGCTGAGTTTCAAAACAGTCATTTGGTGATACTGCCTGCCACTGGGCATCTAGAAAAGGTCAGATCAAGAGTTTACATCATTTACTACTACAAACATAAGAAAAGAGAAACTGTAGCTCAGGATGCAGCATAAAAGTAGTCAGACATCCCTGCACTGGACTTGACTGAACCTCATCAGCTCATTTTGTTCTCTCTTTGTCTTTTTTTGGATTCTATCCTGTACTAAAGACGGCACATGGGTATCAACGGGAATCAGGTCGATATGAATAGAAAATGCTAGATAAAATACCAAGAGGGAAAAATGAATGAATCCAATCAATCCTGTAACAAAACCTGCCTGAACAAGCACAGAGTGACACTGTGTGATGTGATGTTGTTAGCTGTGTAATTATTCCTGTGGGGTATTATAGTGTTTGAGTAGTTTGAGCATGATAGCCTACCTATAGAAGTCCATATTAAGTGAACTGCTTTAAATAAAAAAAGCTCATTTTAGGTTGACTTAGTTTATTTAGTTTAATAGTTTATTAGTAGCTCTAATCAAATCTGTGTCGGTAAAGATTTTGATATTTGTACCGGACAATAAAAAGTGGCAGTGTACCATTTCTATCTAGTACTTTACATCACTCCTTAGCAGGACAGTCAGTACTGAAATGTTGCATGTACATGTATAGTTATTAGGTGCACTTTTGGTTTCATTAGGTGAAACTGGTCCTATAAAGCTGGGGTTACACCACACAACTTTTACCCTGATTTTAGCCCCATTTCTCAGTCTTGCAGAGTCTGTTCTAGTTGGATCTAGTCTGCAGGCTTTTGAGTCAGTCAGAGTGGACAGTTGGAGAGAGAATCAAGTAGTGTACGACGGGCACTGATTCTTTTTGGCCTCCCAATCACGTTTCAGACTAGTCAGAGTTTATCAAACATGTTTGATTTTTTGGACCCAAGCGTCCCTGAGCATAATCTAGAAGTGTAAACTGGTCAACAACTCAATCTGAATAGATTCATGCAACAGCCAATTAAAACTGCAAAAAAAGAAAATACAATAAGTAAACAAAGAAAAATGGCAAAAAATCATTCACATATGGAGTGAAGTTCAGTTCAGTCGTAGTGTACCCAAGACTTAACAGTTACTCATTAAGCACGCAAATGCAGGCAAATGCTACAGCAGGACAGCTCAAGCTCATCTAAAGGTAATGTGAAAGCAAAACCACAGAAGGAAATGTGTTTGCATTACAGAGACTTGACTCGGAATTTGAACTCTGAAATCTGATGCTGTTTATTACTGACAGGTCATTTAGTCACATAATGAAATCACTTAGCCAGTTAGTAAATGGATGTAAGCACTATTAGTCTTTATTTGGGGTTTTCCAGAAATCTGGGGCCAGGTCACAAAGTACGCTAGAAATACAAAGAGAGCACTAAACACAGAGTACAAGGAGACTAGAGAACTACATGAACGGTTAAGACTGAAAGACACACAAGGCTTCACAAACTCAAGTACGTACATAGCCGTGTTCAGAGCTGAGTATGTGCCAATATTCAATAGTGAAGCCCACTGCGATATTCAGCACACACAGTATTATTATTCTGGATGCTTTGAAAAAATGTCACTGCAGCAGCAGATTCACTTCAGAGATTTTTCTTAGATATTCAGAGTAGGCCTGGTTTCACAAGGTCCTACTACGCTGCTACATTGTGATCTCATGTTTATTTTATAGTTTATGTTCATGTAGAGTTGTTTTGGTGTGTTACTGGTCTGAGCACACAGCTTCACAGCTCTCAGTAAAGCTCACAGAGCTATACTTTCATACTCAGTGCTAAGGGTGGGTGGCAAAACTATAACGTCGTGATACTTTAGTTTTCATGAATAATATGCATCACAATATTTAATTTTTCTGAGGTTTGATAAGTTGGACAAAAAAAGGACCAGTAGTGCCACTATTGTTGGGCTTTATACCAGATGAAATTCTTCCTCCAGCATGAATTTTGTTGTAACTGTTACACCAGTAACACGAATACATGAATATTATGTGATGTAGAAACAGTGCAAACCACTCTAACGTTTGCCCGTTTAGCTGAGGCAGGGATGTTTAATTAAGTATCAAATGAAAATAAAAAAAAATTCTCTTGATCACCTTAAGAGTTAGCCTTAGCCTAACACGGACACCAGAGCAATTCCTACACTTCTTCTTGTACCGCCTGAGAAGCCGCCTGACTCGGTCAGCTAAATCAGAAGAGGCCGTGATAGGGGTGCAAAGCCATAGACCAGCTGGTACTGAAATGTGAAATATTACTGATTTCCAGCAGTATCTGACAGTCATAGGCACGAGTGTGGGACACATGTATGACAATAAAATGACTTTGAAATCCGACAAAATTGAAATTGGCTTCTTATTCAACATTCCTCGTGTTTTTGTAACTTTTCTCTCTCTGTTCTACAATACAGGGATCATCTGAACTAAAGCTACAAACATTCTTCTATTTACGTCTGTCTTTTTCCACTCCTCTTCCTTCCCTTGACTTCTACCAATTCTTCATTTACTTAGCCTCTGCCTCCCTCTTTCCTTTTATCCTCCTTTTTCCATCTAATTGTGCTGCTGCAATTTTTCAGCTGGTTGCTACGACTACAGAAACCATTGTTTCTCTTCTCCAAGGCCTTTTGTTGATTTCTGTGCGTGTGTGTGTGTGTGTGTTTAAAAGTCTCTATTTCACACCTCCCAGTGTGCCACTCACTCTCCTTTTCATTCCAGAATTCCTTCCTTCTCTCTCTCTCTCTCTTTCTATCTCTCACTCGTCCTCCATAAACAGCTCTCACTTGTACAGTTATCCTTTTGCCCCCTGCAGTCTCCCTCTCTCTCTCTCCTCCCTCTCAACTCACTAACACACTCCTTCTATTGTTGGGCTAAGTTATGATCCCCCTCCCCCTCGCTTTTCTTCTCCCAATGACCTGTCTTCTTTTTTCCCCTCTTCTCCTCCTCCATCCCTCTGTCCCCTCTCACCTTCAGTGAACGGCTCCCAGTCGTACACTCGGCCCATGAACTCTTTGCTGTTGAAGGCAGTGCACTGCTCCGCTCTGGAATCTACAGCAGAACCAGGACACGGCTGGAAGGAAAGAGAGACAGACAGAGAGAGAGAGAGAGAGAGAGAGAGAGAGATAGAGATAGAGAGAGAGAGAGAGAGAGAGAGAGAGAGATGAGGGCTGGCCTGTAACAGACAGCACTGTATTAACCACCATATGGAAACAATAGAGACCCTGGAAAGGCACACATACATAAATTTCAGAAATTTTTACCCAGAGAGAGACAGACAGACATCGACAGAGAGAGAAAGAAAAGGAAGAGAGGAGAAGGAGAAGAGGCAGGTGTGTATGTGTTTGTGTGTGTGTTTGTGTGTAGGGGTGTCTGGAGCAGAAATAGTGAGAGTGTGAAAGATAGAGCAGAGAGACGGAGAAAGAGTAGGAGAGGGGGAGAGAGAAATGGAGAGAGAGAAAGACAAAGAAGGGGATATAAGCACAATTAGAGAAAGAGCAGAAAGTGAGAGAGAGATTGCAAGAGAAAGGTAGGAGGAGAAAGACAGAGAGAGTAGCAGAAAGAGTGACAGAGATGAAAGAGAAGGAGAAAGGGAGAGACAGAATCAGAGAGACAGAGGAGAAAAATTGAAAGAGAGAGAGAGAGAGAGGCAAAGAAAGAGGAGTAGAAAGAGAAAAAGACAGAGGAAGAAGCAGAAAAAGTAAGAGAGACGTGAGGCAAAAATTCAGAGCAGCGAAAAGAGCCAAGAAAATGAAATACAGCAGAGAAATGCAGAGAGCAGATGAGGAGAACGATTCAGAGTGGAAAACTGACAGAGGGGCAGAATCACAGACACGCAGACAGACAGACAGGAAAAAATCTCTGGGGATTAATATGGACAAATACTGACATAATAAAAAAGAAATGTGTCGCTGTGGAGAGAGAGAGGTGTGTGTGTGTGTGTGTTTAAATATTTGTGGGGCCCAGGGGTCCTCAGGATGATGTAACTCATTAACGTTTTGACGTTGTGGGAAACTCCCCCACCAAAAACGGCAGTTGTTCATTAGAAACAGTAAGAAGGTTAGAGCTGGTTTGGTGTAGAATAGCAGCATTAAAATAAACCCATACAGAAGAACATGAAACACCCACAAAGACAAAAACACAAATACTGTGTGTGTGAGTGTGATGAACACAGCTAGTTTGGAGTGGATACACTCCGCAGCTGTCTAACGGAGACTGCTGAGACACACCATGTGTTCATTTACGAGCTGGATAATGTGCGGGAATACTGCGCTCTTTCTCTCGGTTCCAGCCATCCTTCTGGAGTCTCTTTACGAACTGTATACCAGAGAAGCCACCTGGGGCTGAAGATACGCTGGGATAAAGAAAGGCACAGGGGGTAGACTAACAGCTCGGCACACTGACACACACACACTGCTGAGACGACTCTCCGGTACAGAAGCAGTTCAGTCTGTCAGCAGAGGGTTATGAGGTTAAAGCCCCTCAGTACTGTAGACCCTGACATGTAAGCACCCAGCACCACCCCCCTACAGTACAGTCATTTACAAAAGACAATGTCATCTGATTCATGAATGAATCTTTCTTTTGAACTGGCCCTTTCAACTGACTGACTAGACCGACTGAAAAGTCCAGCTGTACTGAACTTTTCTGTAGTATCTTTGCAACATTTGTGCTTATTATAGTGCTTATTATATATTCAACTCTAAGACAATTACGATCACATTTTAGGAACTATCACATAAAATTTGCTTATGTTTTCTCATTCTGCAGTCTGCAACCTGTAGCTTCCTGGTACACATTTGTGTTTTGTGCATGGGATCACTATGGGGGTCCCTCCTATAAAGTCCCATTACATCACAAAGCATTAAAGTGGTTCCTAAAGTAAACATTTAAGTTCCAAAAATTAAAGTGTTAGCACGGTAGCTGATTTAATGAGGGTAGAATATAGTCCAGTGCCAGAAAATATGTAATATATAGACCAGAAAAACAGGATTTCACGGCAAAAAACCCTGTTTCTATATATAGTTTTGTACTTCAGCTTTGATTTACATTGTCATATATTCAAAGTGAATCTGTCAGACCAGGGGTGTCCAATCTTATCCACAATGGGGGCGGCGTGGGTGCAGGTTTTTGTTCCAAACGAGAAGAGCACACCTGATTCCACTTGTTTCATCAGTCAGACTCCTTGTTGCAATGAAAACCTGCAGCCACACTGGGCCTTTGTGGATAACACTGGACACCCCTGTGTTAGACATTACTAAATCAGCCCACTCCACAGCACCCTCCTTGTTGAGTGAATGTATAACATATATGATATATACACTGATTGGTTGGAATGTGCAGCCGCAGTTGCTCTCACTGGACATCAGCGATAAAAAGTGGAATCTTCACCCTGTGGAAATCTCCTGATTTTCATGTTCAGGATCATGTGAACCCTGCCTGAAAATAGTGTTACTGAAGCAATTAAACTAACAAATTCATTCTGATGAAGTTTATTTTGTTCTCTCAAACAGTTATAACAAAATGCACTGCTCTTAAAATGGAAACTATCTTTCTGTTGGTTCAAATTTGACTAAATAAGCTAAATAAGTTAAATTAATTGTTATCAATTTGACAGCTCTATCATTAACATCATTTTTGAGGATTAATGCAGCATCTGTACTTGCAGTGTGTGTTTGCAGAATGTCAGTGTGGCAGGTCTCTCTCTCTCTCCGTCTGTGTGTGTGTGTGTGTGTGTGTGGTAAGTAACCCTCTTTAAGCTGATGTATTACTGAAATTAAACACACAGATATCCCCTTACAGGCCTGTAATGCAGAGAGAGAGAGAGAGAGAGAGAGAGGAGAGAGCGAGAGAGAGAGAGAGAGACTTTCCTTGGCCTGACAAACTCATTCCCAGAGTGATCCTTTCTAATGGACTCAGAGTCAGAGGAGAGCACACAGAGGTCATGCACACACACGCACTGAAGGTGTATTAGATGTCCATAGAGGGTAAATATGGCGAGAGCTTTGGTTCTTCTGCACTTGTTGTGAACTCTCACCACAGAACAGCTGTGCTTCACACACAGACACACACACATTCTTCATCACATTCTCTCTTTCCTCACTTCACTGAAGAGCTCTCCTTCACTTCTTTAGCTCTCCCTCTTTGTAATCTTTCTCTCTCTCTCTCTCTTTCTCCCCCCCTCTCTCTTTCTCTTTCTCCCTCTCTCTCTCTCTCTCTCTCTCTCTCTCTCTCTCTGTCACTGTCTCTCCCTCTCCATCTCTCACTCTGTCATTTTTTTCCACTCTGCTCTCCAGCTGTCTAAATCCTAAAGCAGCTGCTCAGGTTCAACATATTTTATTCGTTTACGCACACAAACACACACACACACACACACACACACACACACACACACACACACACACACACACTCCTCTCTCTCAAGAGGTGCAAATAGAATTCATGATCAGGCACATATTCCAAAAGGCACACGTTAGTTCACATACTTGTGAATAATGAGTGATATTGGTGAACAATAAGAGATCTTGATAACCAGATGAACAAACTTACTGTGTCTGAGCACCAGCACTAATAATTCTTAATGACTCAACTGTGTGTGTGTATATACATCTGAGTGTGTGTATGTGAGTGTAAATGTGAGGAGGCGGTGTGTAAAACACAGTTAGTGATGGTGATAAATATTTCTGGTTAGTATAAACTCTCTGAGAGGAGCACTGCTGCTAGAGCTGTGAGTGTACATACACAGAGAAGATGGAAAAGAAAGAAGAGATAAGAAGAAGAGAAGAGAAGAGAAGAGAGGGGAGGAGAGGAGAGGAGCAATCAACCAGTGAACTGTAACATACAGGAAAAACAACAGAGTGAGCAGAGAGAGTCACACACACAGTAAAGACACAGATACAGCACTAAGACTGCTCTGACGTCACAGAGAGAGAGAGTACAAAAGAGAGATAGAGAGACATAGAAAGGGAGAGCACGAGTGAGCAAGGGAGAGAAACAGAGTGATAGAGAAAGACAGCAATTTAGAGAAAGAGAAGAGAGAGAAAAAAGGCAGAGAGAGATGATGGAGATGGATGGATAAACACCGAGGGTCCACAGCTACTGAGAAGCAGAACTATGACTATGTAAATGAAACACAACAACTGCTCAATTGTTTTGTTCATGTAGAAATGCATAAACACACAAAACCTCAAGTCCACACTAAAATACACACATAAACACAGTGAAAAAACACGAACACGCACAGAATAACACTTACACAAACATACCTACAAACACACACATTAAGTTCGTTTTGCACAAAAATGGGGCACAAAATGTCCTAAAGCTATTTTCAATATTTTTAAGCCAAATAAACACAAAATAAACACACCCAATAAATGCGTTACTGGGACATTCGCCAGGAGATTCTTCAACGTTGCAAAAGGATATGAAAAGGCTCTTGAGACCAAACTGGGAGGAAACACAGGTGACGGACAGCTGTCTGATCCCAGCTGGGATTTTGGTCATTTCCTGTTTGGTTGTTCACCTCTTGGCCCGGAGAGTGATCAGAAGGTTTAAACAGCAACCAAACCGCAGACCAATCCAAACCATAAATCTCATGGTAACCGCATCTGTGTGGCAGTCTGAACAGGTCGCAGACTGTCACTTATCACAAACTATCACTAAAACTCTCTGACAGTCGTTAAACAGCTTTTCAGCTAGCCAAACCACAGAAACAGGTAGTGATAAACATAAAAACACAATCTCCATCATTTTTCACTACACTGTAAAAAGAAAGCAGTAGTCATTAGAGCGATAAACATAACCAAATTGAAATCAGTGCATCTTTACTGCAGTGTAGGACAACTGTGCTCTGTGTGTTTGAGGCTGGTGTGTATACACACCATTCGTACACCTGATTAAACTCATTGAAACCTTCTGAGTCTGATCAGGGGTGAAAACAAAGAGCTGAGAGGCTCATGGCTGCAGTGAAGATGCACAACCCTGGACAATTCATTAGACTCACAGGGGATTTTACAGATATTTCAGTTTGTCAGTGCGGAATAATTCTTTTCATCAGTCTAGTCAAAGAAC